TGATAAAATTGAAATGGAAGCTAAAGTTTGTGACAAATGAATTCTTTGGAACTTGAATTCTATGAATTGGCTATAGAATGAAATATTTAAGTAATAAATATAATCTTAGTGGGCTGTACTGGGTATATAAATAAAGAGTACCATGTCTGCTCATTGGCATACCTGGGATCAATGAACTGTGGTGGTATTCCCTTCCCCCCATTAAGTTTTTAGAAGAGAAAGAAAGTCTCTTTCTTCTATGTCTCCTACTTTTCCTATTAGCAGCTACCTTCATAGATGTGTCCACTGTGTTCTGCATCTCCTCACTATCACCTGTCTTCCAGTGTTGTCCTCTCATGTTCTAGCCTTAGTCCTTATCATTACAACCATCCTCTGCTTTTGTTTCCTGAGACACACTGTTCCTTTAGCTGTCACTTCTGGCCTGAACCCTCATTTGCAGATCTGATGAACTTCTAAATTCTGAACTCCAGCTCCCCATCCACAATTGCCATCTGAACATGTTATATGTGTCATCTCAAAACCAACAGAAAACAGGACCTGCAACAGAGAGGTTTCCTATTGGTTCTCAAATTCAGTTTTAACAGAATTTAAAATCCTCTTCTCTCACTGTTCTAAACTTCCCTATTCATATTTAATGATGCCACTGATCTCCCCACCGTGTATTGTGTGTTATCTTCCACACATATACACATAGACATAAAAATAAGGAGAAAAAGATTGAATTGGCTAACATACTTACTTAGAAAAAGCTCAAAGCATATGTCTTGTTGCTCTTAAGATAGCAGTGTCATCATTTAAAAGGAAAGCTTGTTGTCATGCCAGTAAGCGAATGAATTTTTGGAAGTCTGTGTAAAACTATAACACATGACTAACTGTACATGTTCTCTTCCCTCACCCAGCAACCACTTGTCATCTTGGAAAGCTGGCAGAACAGTGGAGTTTGCGTCCAAAAATTAGTTGACTTTCTACTCCCACTGCTGATGGTTTGTCAGTCACAGGAAGAACCTCATAAGCTTTCTTGTGCTTATTTGCCCAATGGTACATCTATCACTATATTTCAGAGTGAATAAATTTGAATAAATATGAAGCTTGAGGTTCATATTTATTGTTGAATGTTAGAGATGGGGGAAGCATTGAAAATCAGGTTTGCCCGCTTCCTGATCCTACTGAACAAGGAACTGAGGCCCAGAAAGGTTAGCTGATCTGTCCAAGGCCACATAGCTAATTTGTGACAAAACTACAACTGAAATCATGATATTCTAACCCCAAGCCATGAACTCTTCCATTCATCTACCTTTTAAATATACTAGGTCTCCTCTTGCCATTCACCTGGGCTGAGTTCTCAAGCCTGTGGAAAAGCCCCAGTAAATCCTGGTTCTTAGTCTATTTTAAAACATTAATCATTTACACAATTACTTTTTAATAAAATAATTAAGTTGTAAATGTGACAAATTCACGCTGTTATTCTGATGATACAAGTTTAATCAGAATGTCTGTGGTCTGTGAGCACAAATGGGAGTGGGCTCAAGTAAAATGCCTCTGGGCATCTGAGAAACATGAAAGTGCAGTATCCCTGGCTCCTTTGCTTGTAATTTTTTTTCCCCTCTCTCATGGCCTGGCAATTGTTTTATAATACTCACCCCAAGTTGACCACCACTACCACCACCAGATATGGTTTTACTCACCTCAGGGTGTACTATAGTCCAACCTTTTTCTTCCTTGTCTATTGAACCCTTTCTTCTTTGTCCTTTACATTGTTGTTCTCCAGATTACAATGCTGACTCAGATTGGCTAGGTTTTCAGAGAATTTCAGAGGGTAGAGTAGGTGGATGGATAACATGAAACTTTTCCCCTTGTCAATCTACAATTGGTTGCTTATTCATTCATTCAACAGACATTCTGGACATTGACTATGTGCAAGATACACAGCTTCTGCTCTTAAGGGAATCACAGTACTAGATGTGCATGGGAGGGGGAATAGAACACTGTATGACAAACAATGGAATACTACAGAATAAGGTTTGTTTAAGGAGGCTGGGACAGGTAGTGATAGGAAGGGTAACAAACCTAGGTAATAGGATCATCAAGAGCAATGGCTGAGAAGCAATAAAGAATGGGAAGTGCACAGAGAACTACACTTTCCTGGAACAATGTAGAATGCACAAAGAGTCATGAAGGAGATGAGGATGCAGAAGGCCTTACATATGTGGAGTTTGGGTTTTCAAACACAATTTGTCTATCAGGAATGTTTGAGTAGAAGACCAACATTTGAGAAGGCATTTTCTCTCTAGATTGGTCTTAGATTCTTAGCAGGTGGGTGCTTGGAGGGGCCTAGCTATCCCAGTATTCATGTCATTCAGTGGAAGAGTTCCTTAGAGGATGACCAACTTGGTCAATGTCAAGATGTTGGATGGTTTTTCTCCCATGCAATATGGTGCCTACTAGAAGTCTTTAAGAGGCAACCTTGAGGTTTGCAAAAGAAAAAAAAAGAAAGAATGAAAGAAGGGGGGATAGTTGTGTAATTTACATTAAACGAATATTTAACAAGTTGATATTATAGGCTTTGTACTTTGCATGAGGAGAGATTTATTATACAAAGCAATGGTTACACTTGGAGAAATTATTTTTGGAAAGGAGAACAGGAATAAAAATGTTAATACTGTTTGCCTTTAAATCAGAATTTGTGTTAACTTTGACATACCACATATAATATTTGGTATGGTGGTAAGTGAACTTTATGAAATCTCTGGTCATAGAAATATATGATAATATCAGACTCAAATTTGGTCAGTAGTGTATACTTTCATTAAAACAATATCATTCTAATAATGACTGGTAATAGTAATGTATGGACTGTAGCTGCTCAGTGTATGTCTGAAGTATTACTGAATCTTTAAGGACAGTCATGTGAAATTGCAAGTTTATACATGAGACCTACATTCAGTCTGAATAAACAATGATTAGCTTAATCGAATTTTTGCTTTTGTTTAACACATTGTGATATTTACAGCTTTAGGCAGATAGTGCAGAGTGGGAAGTGAAGGAGAAAGTTTCTCATTTTTAACTCAACTCACAGTATTTACCTTATGGAGAAGTTTTGTAAGTATTTGGCATTTGATGGATTCTGTTTTATAAAATAGAGGTTCTAAGACCCAGAGAAATTAAATATATTTGTTTGTCAGTCTATATTAAGCATTTACTCTGTGCCTGGCACTGTGCTAAGAATTGAGTAATAAAAGACATCTTATGCACTGCCATTTCTACCTAATGTTCAATTCAGTATGTTCGTATTCCTAATAAGTGGAGAATTGAATGTTACATTTTGATTCTGGTAGGTGAAAAATCTTTTATGTTTCTATTTGGAGGAATATGGAAGAGGCTGTTCAAGGAAGGTACTTTCTGTAGTAACCACCAGGTGTCAGCAGAGGACATGAAACTCTTGGCAACATTTGAGATCTTGGTTGTCTTAACTCACTAAGGTCATTTCCATTGGAACTTTTCAAAGGCAGTAGACCTCCACTGGGCCACTATCTCCCAAATAGTAGTGTCAAACATTTTTTCCTGAAGACTATATCACATCCATTCCTTTACCTTGTAAAAGTTGCATTAGTTCCTCAATCTTTTCATGATTTCAAGCTTTTAATTCTTTCACGGTTAATATTTCTACAAAGTAGAAAAACTATTGGGGGTAGGGGTAAGGGAGTATCACCAAATTCTTGTTTCTACTGAACCCTTCTCCCCAAATATGTGGAGCCCACTCTCACCTGATATGGGGAAAGGTACAGGGTCTGTTCTTTTTCCTGCACGGAGAAACAATATGATGGTGGAGCTTGATGGCTCCAAATGGCATAAGGAGTTTTCAGAGTATACGGAGAGAGGCCTTGGCATCTTCACTGGCCCAGCTGTTTGGTTCCTCATGCAGCATGTATCTGGTGGTGTTCACTTACAGATGTTATGGAACAGTGAACAGTGTATTGATCGACAGGGGAAATGTTGGTGAGGTGGGTATTGATTTGTATCATACTGGTTTTCTCCAGTTTCTCATCTGGCCTCCTCACTTGAGTGGTCAGGCTGGACAGGGAACTGAGGCATTTGGTATGGAGAAGAGCTACCTTGGACACCCAGGCTTTTTTTGGCTTCATAAGCTTTCAGAAGAGATAGCAGAGGGCTGTTAGTTTAAATAAGTTGCTAAGCTACTAATAAACCGAAGGAGAGGCCAGTTTTGGAGCTAGAGACACAGTCAACCATTGGCTTCAGTAGCTAAAGCTTCAGGGGATAGAGAGTGAGGCATAGCATGCAGCCCCACGTCTATTTTCTGAAGTAAAGACACAATTGGTGCAGGGTTCTAGAGTTTAGACGTGCTGTAGGGATTTCTTTTGGCCTGATCAGTAGGGTTTGACACATTGCATTAAAGTTAATTCTAGGAGTTATTTGGATTCTTCTGTTGTTTTATATTGAATAAAGTAACATAAATAAGGTGGTGAATCAACATGGATTCAAAAATATTTTGAAAGTTTTGCTTTTGTAGAGATTTTTGTGAAAATAGTGAAAGAAAATTACTTTGTTCCTTAAAACATGTGAAATGTCCTTAAAACACACTATGTACACACATACCCTTGAAGAGGGTGACTGACATTACTATTGGGGTTATACCTAGCTCAGCATCAAGTTGTGGTTCAGACTAGACCTAGAAAGTCTCTGAGAACTGTATTAGGATATACTTCTTAAGCAGCTTAAAAAGTTCTTTATTGTTGGCTTCAGTTTGGATTAATGTAGTAACAGCATATGGGATTGTATAAGATCTAATTGTACAAAATCATTGTCTTTGCTGTATGATGGCGTTAGTTAATGATCTTCAACCTTTTCTCATTACTTTAGGGAATCCTATAGCAATTACCAATTTGCTCATACAAACTGGAGTTGTCATATTCAGGCCACACTGATTGTCACCTCTCTCAGCAGCAGTCTTACACTCTCTTCTCCTGCCTTCCCATTTTCAGATCACTGGGGTGATCCTGCTGGCCGTTGGAGTCTGGGGAAAACTCACTCTGGGCACCTATATTTCCCTCATTGCTGAGAACTCCACAAATGCTCCCTATGTCCTCATCGGAACTGGCACTACTATCGTTGTTTTTGGCCTGTTTGGATGCTTTGCTACATGCCGTGGTAGCCCATGGATGTTGAAACTGGTGAGTATGTCACAACATCATACTGCTTTTTCAATTCCTTTTTGCAAAAATATCAATCACATGAAAGCAAAGTGGCCTTTCTTGAAGCCACAGATAAGACCTCAATATTCATTGATTCTAATTTTAGTCCAGACTCTTACATAATCCACCCTTTAATCCCTTAGAGGGAAAAACAGCCCCAAACACAGCCTGGCACAAAAAAAACCAGTCCTGGTCCCCTGAGGTAGATGATGAGAAAACAGTGGCCAGCGGTTCTAATAGGCCATTCAAATTTGTGGCAAGACACCCTGTTCCAGTTTTGAATTCTGTCTTAGAAATCTCTTCAAGCATGTGATGTGCAGCTTTGGTGGGCAAGACAGCATCCCAAACATAAGCAGTCTTTAGTCTCCAAGTTCCCACTGGAGAAATACTTTCTGTGTCCTTGAACTTGGCTGTTGATGCATGGGCACCCTCTTCTCGAAACCTTCACACCCTGGTTCTATGGGAGTTGAGCTAAGCCAGAGCTTCTCCACTCAACGGAGGGTTGATGCAGTGCCAACTATTGGCTACCAGGACCAGTGCTGGGTACCTTTACTGCAATAGGGCAGACAGAGCAGTGATGTTTCCCAAATAATAAGGATAAGCTGTTAAAAGGTTGTTACTGTGATACTTAAGTTTTTAACAGAATAGTTGCCTAAGTCTCTACTTACTGTCCATGCTCCTCATTAATAAAAGTTAATATTAAAGGCTTTTATAGATAAAAGGTAGCAAAGGCATCTCCTAACACTTGAGAGCTCATTAGCAAAGTGTCCACCAGTACTTTGTTGTTGGTGCTTCCTCATTTAGCTCTAGGTTGTAGTAGCATTTAATACCATGTAGTGATAGATGTGGGTGTAAAGGTAATTCACTCTAAAGGAACCACCTTCCAAAGTGGCATACGTCTGTGTCTTTGTTGACAACCTCATGGAAGCCATGGTTGATTTGGCCACTTTCTCTTCTGTAGACCATGCAGGAGACATGCCCTGGCCACCACTGATTCTTTTGGGTTGGTGGCAAAACCATAGTGAAGCCATATTGAGGCACTTTTACTGCTTTCAGCTGTCACTCTATGCTAACACCCCAAGTTTTCCTTCTTGTATTCCTTACAAGCATTAGGATTTGTTTTAGTCTAGTATAGTAGTCCTCAACTTTGGATGCATGCTTAAATCAACTGGGCAGCAAGAGGAGAATTAACTTCAAATGTATAGTAAAGAAGGATTGCTAAATATTCATCTGTGTAAACAATAATGGAGGAGACCTGGTCATGAGACTTGACTGATTCTGACACTGTCTATGTGTTTAGTGGCAAGGATGTATCCTCTTTAGACCTCATTTATAAAAGAATACTATTGGACTAAAAATTAACAAGGTTTCTTCCAGCTCAAATTGTATGAGTGAAGGAGGGGCATAAGAGAGGATACAGCAATGGAGGACACAGCGGACTCTCATAGCCAGTTAGCCTGGAGGTCAAATCACCCCCGGTATTGCCGACAACAATCAAGGCTTAACCACAACAAGACTGCGCACAAAGACCACTAGGGGGTGCACCAAGAAAGCATAAAAAATGCGGAGACAAAGAAACAGGACAAAACTGTCAATGGAGGATATTGAGTTCAGAACCACACTTTTAAGGTCTCTTAAGAACTGTCTAGAAGCCACCGGTAAATGTAGTGAGATCCTCAAGAAATCTAATGAGACCCTTGATGTCATGATAAAGAACCAACTAGAAATTAAGCATACACGGACTGAAATAACGAATACTATACAGACTCCCAACAGCAGACCAGAGGAGCGCAAGAATTAAGGCAAAGATTTGAAATGCGAAGAAGCAAAAAACACCCAACCAGAAAAGCAAAATGAAAAAAGAATCCGAAAATACGAAGATAGTGTAAGGAGCCTCTGGGACAGCTTCAAGTGTACCAACATCAGAATTATAGGGGTGCCAGAAGATGAGAGAGAGCAAGATATTGAAAACCTACTTGAAGAAATAATGACAGAAAACTTCCCCCACCTGGTGAAAGAAATAGACTTACAGGTCCAGGAAGTGCAGAGAACCCCAAACAAAAGGAATCCAAAGAGGACCACACCAAGACACATCATAATTAAAATGCCAAGAGCAAAAGACAAAGAGAGAATCTTAAAAGCAGCAAGAGAAAGAAACTCAGTTACCTACAAGGGAATACCCATACGACTGTCAGCTGATTTCTCAACAGAAACTTTGCAGGCCAGAAGGGAGTGGCAAGAAATATTCAAAGTGATGAATACCAAGAACCTACAACCAAGATAACTTTATCCAGCAAAGCTATCATTCAGAACTGAAGGTCAGTTAAAGAGCTTCACAGATAAGGAAAAGCTAAAGGAGTTCATCACCACCAAACCAGTATTATATGAAATGCTGAAAGGTATCCTTTAAGAAGAGGAAGAAGAAGAAAAAGGTAAAGATACAAATTATGAACAACAAACATGCATCTATCAACAAGTGAATCTAAGAATCAAGTGAATAAATAATCTTGTGATCATAATAGAATCAGGGACATAGAAAGGGAATGGACTGACTATTCTTGGGGGGGAAAGGGGTGTGGGAGATGCAGGAAGAGACTGGACAAAAATCGTGCACCTATGGATGAGGACAGTGGGTGGGGAGTGAGGGCGGAGGGTGGGGCGGGAACTGGGAGGAGGGGAGTTATGGGGGGAAAAAGAGGAACAAATGTAATAATGTGAACAATAAAGATTTAATTAAAAAAAAAGAGGATACAGCAATGGAATAGTTATCTCTGGCCTCTTCTGAAGATGGTGCCACACCATGCTACCATTTTCTCTTAACTCTTGAGAACTTGTTGGCAGATGAGCCTTTTGGGGAGTACAAAAGGTTTTTATTTTTTTTTACCTTTAAAAAATTATCATGTAGTTCCTTTTGTCTGCCAGATGCTGTCATATGTGCATACTACATTTATTTCTCACCATCTCTGTGAATGAAGTATAGATTGTATTTCCATTACAGGATAAAGTCTTTGAGGTTAAATAACCTGCCAAGGTTCATACAGCTAATATACCAGTATAGAGACCTGGTATTGGAACCCATAAATGTCTCTTTCCAGAGCCAGGATAGTTTTTACTACAGTATTTTCATTTGGAGAAAATTTGAACCCTACCATCTGTATTTAGCACAAGCTCTTCCCAATAGACTTCGGCTAAGACCTTGTGAAGGAGAAGGAAATGTTTTCTGGAAGGTTCTGGTAGCAGGGAACTTCCAAAAGATGGGATATTGTTGATCTTGCTGATGAGAGAGGAAGTAACTTGATTAAGTTTCAGTCTAGAATTTTACAGTCCTCATTTAACCTCATTAATTGCAAAACAACTGAAAATAACTATTTTCACTTTGTGGGGCCTAGGGAAGCTGCCTCTTTCCTAAGAGTTTCGCCACAGAAAGGCTAGGGCTCAAACTTAGGAGGAGTTCTGGTGGAGTCTAGGCCTGGTATGAGAGTCTCCCTAGAGTAAAATGTGCTTCTAATTGCATTTTGTACCAAGTCAAGAGAGAGAAGTTGTTTATATAAGGCATTCTATTCATAACTGTGTGCTTCATATTTTAGTGGCTGTACTTCAAGTGTGTAGAGACTTTTGTTAATATTTCAAATGAAACTGGCATTTTAAGCCAGTATTTCTTCCTTTTAATATATGTACCACTAGCTAAGAAAAATAATTTATGATCCTGTGTATATATTTATACTTTACAGGACATGTGTACACTTTACAAATAAGTCATATGGCCATGTGCAGTCTATCTAAATTCCACAGCATCATCTAGGGCCATTCCAAATATTGAGGGCTTTTATATAGTTTGAGATGAGAAGAAGCATATTGTAAGACATATGCCTTGTAGGAAAGGAATCAATTCTCTTTCCTTTCATCTGCTTTTCAAAGTCACAAAAATGGAAACCATTAATGTCTCGTAAGTACCATGTAATATCCCTGAAATTAGGCATGCACATGCACACACACAAAATCAACTTGGAAAGTACAGGAAGCATGAAATGGGAAAGAAGCACTAAGGGTTTTAGGTGCCTGCAAATGTTGTTAGTCAGTAGTGTAGCATACGGGCTTTTTAAAAGATTATTAACTCCACGTACTGTGCAGAACAAGAAAGGTAGGTATGTAGCCTATTGGCCATTGTTGTATATGCTGCATTCGAGTATGACCACCATATTAAGGAAGGGAGGTCAACCTGTGCACATTCTGATTCTTCTGTAAGTATGGGAGGGATACAATTCCAAAGGGAGAAGTTTTGAAGCCATTTCCTGATTGGAAAAAAGCAGGGTTGCGCCATGGCTGTGTTTGCCCATATAAGGGCCTGTTGTATAGAAGAGAGGGCTGGTTCTTATATCTCCTGAAAGCAGATTCAACACCAATGAGTGGAAGTTACAGGTAGGCAGACTGTGGCCAAGAGAAAGGAAGTCTTTCCAGCAGTTGAAACAGTTTGAAAACTAAATGAGCTACAAGGGGTGGGTGGGTAGAGCTGGGTTTGCAGATGCTAGATGAAGGTGCAGGCAGATGCCAAATGACCATAAAGAGGAAGGTGGTATGAAGGACTCCCAGACAGGGTGAAACTGTGTCCTGTGACTTCCAGAGTACTTTCTAGCTCAAGGATTCTAACATTAAAAATAATGAATACCTTAAGTTGTACAAAGCCCTTTTAGATTTCTCTTGGTCAACCTGAGCTGATAGGCATGATACTAGTCCCAAAATGCTTCCTCCTATTAAACAGACATATTCCTATATTGGGGCTCATGTGGGTAAATCTGGAGAAGAGTATTTTTAAACTTTTCCTTAAACTTTGTCTAGGGAAAAGGAGGATTTGTCTAATTCTCCCTGACAAGAAGTAACCTACCCAAAAGAAGCACTCTTCCTAATATTGACATATTTCACTTTGTTCCTGCCCACTTGATTTTCAGTATGCCATGTTTCTGTCCTTGGTGTTCCTGGCTGAGCTCGTAGCTGGCATTTCAGGGTTTGTGTTTCGTCATGAGGTGAGTATACACAAAGTGGATCACTTAGTTAAAGAGTCTTTGGGAGGAGGAAATTTGAAACCTCTTGAAATGTGTATAGGGCACATATAAGCTAGCTGGCATCTCCAGTGGTATTGCTATTTTCCAAATATCACATATTATGAACTAAAATACCAGTAAATTTCTAAATGTACAATTTAACCAAACTCAAAAACTTAGTTGTTGATCCTCACTCTATTTCTTTATATAGTTATGAGTGCCCTGGTGCATGGATCCATGCACATTGAAAGGAAATTAATTAGAAGAAATATTTTTTTTTTTTTAAATTGTCAATGGAAGATATAGAGTTCAGAACCACACTTTTTTTTTTTTAATATATTTTATTGAGTTTTTACAGAGAGGAAAGGAGAGAGATAGAGAGTTAGAAACATCGATGAGAGAGAAACATCGACCAGCTGCCTCCTGCATACTCCCCACTGGGGATGTGCCCGCAACCAAGGTACATGCCCTTGACCGGAATCGAACCTGGGACCTTTCAGTCCGCAGGCCGACGCTCTATCCACTGAGCCAAACCGGTTTCGGCAGAAGAAATATTTTAATATCACTATTTGACATTTCTCTATAATAGAAATGTCAACCAAATTCACGATGGACAATGACAGATCAAAGCACATGTGTGCGATTGGCGCCAGCGAGAGCTTTATGTGTATCATGCATGTGCGAGTCGTTTATTTTTAAATTGCCAGTGCGTGTCATATGTACTGGCCAGTCGGTCATTCAGATGGACAGTCAGTCACTTAGCCATATATATATAATAAAATTATTCTCCACCTTGTTTTAAAACAGTGACCTTCAATATAGATTAAATACTCCTTTTAGGATAGCTACGTCAGCAAAGCACAAGTGTGTATCTATATAACGATTTCTGAGACTGTGAAAGCAAGCCAAACTAGTTGTGTCCCAAAGGCAAAGTGCTAGATTTCCCCAAAGCAGCCTGTGCTCTCTTCTCTTCTCTTCTCCCCAGAGCTCCTTTGGGACACCCCTACCACTTGGGAGGTAAAATCTACATCCCAGTAATGAGGAGCCCTGCTGTTATGCCTGGTGGTGAGGGAAAAGGAAAAAAGATAGTCATAATCCCAAACCCCTACAGCTCTTTGTTTTTAATTTATATGTAAAATTTTAGATTTCTAAAGCTATTCATCCCTGTCTTCCATAGATTAAGGATACCTTCCTGAGGACTTACATGGATGCCATGCAGAATTACAATGGCAATGATGAGAGGAGCCAGGCAGTGGACCATGTGCAGCGCAGCGTAAGTTCCAGGGAAGGAGTTGGGGTTGGGAACTGCCTGTGAGGTGTGGCCTTACACTTGTGTGCTGCTGCTGATTCCTGTTCTCAAACTTTTGATCCCATTCCATTTCCAAAGGTTAGGGGATTTGTCCAGGGTCCAGTTATCCAGGTAATTTCTGTCAAGAAGCATCACTGTCTCTGTTTGTTTTTTATAAGTAAGGATTGTGAGGATTCCAAGGAAAGTAAGTTTGACCTTAAAATCTGAAGCCTTGGAAAGGAGGTAGGCAGTGAGTATATGACAGCCTTTCTTAGAGTTGGCTCCCAAAGGCTGGCATTCTGGAAGTGGTGTCTAGTCTGGGTGAAGAACTCGAGTAAACTACCTTCACAGGCTTTTGCAGCATACTGGGGATAGAGAGTGGACCAAGAAGAAATGGAGGGTCTGTCAGGTATATGAATGGCCCAGACAGCCTGGTGCTTTACAAAGGATATGAGGAAAATCGAAGTTTCCTGCCTATAGGCGCTCAGGAGGGGGGGTGCTGGTGCTGAAGCCTGATGCCCATGAGGATCACCTGGGAAGTTTTTTGGTATTAGGGTGTTTTTTATGTGCTTCAGAAGCATTTCAATTTTGGGGGGTAATTTATTTGATAAAATTTCAAACTTATCCAAAAAAAATTTTGTAAGAGTAGTACAAAGAACTATACACCTTTTACCCAGATTCACTAATTAATTATATTTTACCCCATTGGCTTTAATATTCTCTGTGTTAGCAGTTGGCAAATCTTTTCTGTGAAGGGTCAACTAGTAACTATTTGAGGCTTTGAGGGCCATGCAGTCTCTGTCACAAGTACTCTGCCTCTGTACCACAAAAGCAACCATAGATAACACGTAAACAAAGAGGCTTGGCTGTGTTCCAATAAAACTTGATTTATGAAACTAGGCAGCTGGTGGGCTATAGTTTAGCAGCACCAACTCTCTTTCTACCTCTATGTGCATTCCCCCCCCCCAAACAAAACAAAACAAAACACACACACCCATTTATTTACTTCTTAGTATAGATCCTTTGAAGAGCTTTTTAAAATCATTTTTTGCCTTGGCTTCCCCATCAGCTGTACTGATTGAGTTGATGTATACACCTTTAACAGCACCCAGCTGACATAAGTGATTTTGATGCATAGCCAGGCCACTGCTTTGATTTAAGGAGGTCATAAGAAAGCCAACACGACCCATCATTTAGAACTTTCTTCTTTGAGTTCAAATGGGCTTCCCAGTGAGAACAATTGTTAGTGGAGCTTCAGCTCATCTTTACTCACCAAAGCTATGCCTGTTGACTCAGAGGCTTGGCCCATGTTTCTCGTTTAAAAGTTACAGGGCGGTGAGTGAGGAGATCACACAGTCTTTGATCTGCCACACTTTGATTCTTTCTCTTTCCCTGTTAACAGCTGAGCTGCTGTGGTGTGCAGAACTATACCAACTGGAGCACCAGCCCCTACTTCACAGAGCATGGCATCCCCCCAAGTTGCTGCATGAATGACACCGATTGTAATCCCCAGGATCTGCACAATCTGACTGTGGCCTCCACCAAAGTTTACCAGAAGGTACTTGCTTCCTTTCAGTCCTGATGTGATCAGTGGTGAATGTTTGAGGAGGTCATTTTTGTTTTTGTGAGATTATGACAAGTAGGTAAGAAATGGTAGTCTAGGAAGGAGTCAAGAATCTGCCTTTGTGGTCCTTTATTGCCTAGAAGAGATACTTGAGGCTTCCCACTTCTAAGGAGAAAGCTGTGACTTAGTTCAGCTCCAAATTCCTCTCCCAGCAAGAATCTACCAGGCATGGTTAGGAAGGTTTAGCAAGTGGTTTCTGTTAAACCTGATGCTGATGTCAGACAGGGAATGCTGGCTTTCTTCTTTCTGGGTGTCTTTTTTTTGCTTAATATATCTACTAAACATGAAATCATTTACAGCTGGGTGTCAGTCCTTAGCAGGAAGGGGGGAGTAGAGTTGACAGACAGCATCTGTTTCTGCTAGGAGGGTGGCCTTTATTTTAGGGAGGTCGCTGTCATAGGAAAAGAAATAAACAACTCCACTCCAACTCACTGTCAACATCCTGACTCCAAAAGAAATTAGAGAGGAAAAAACTGGCTAAAAGATATTTGAAAGTTAGTATGTAGTGGAGTTGAGGAATATGAAATTTCAGTAGTCAGAAAAGGAATATCAATTCTTTATTCTGTTTACATAGAATATGTTAAAGACATGATACAAATGCATGTGAAGGCCCTCTATATTCTTAAATGTTTAGAGAAGTGCCAGATAGAAAATATAGTTTGGTAAACAAGAGGGAGAATAAAACCCTACTATTGAGTTTACTTGTGGTTATATGGTCATCAGGTAAATTTTCTTATCTTAGATAAAATTCTATTCCTTAAGGTCTTCAAAATTCTATGTGATCTGGGCCAACTACTGAATAATTCATAGGAGATAGCATTTTCTCAGGATCAGAATGTTAAGATATTGGTTTCTGTATTTTACCCACTTAATGTTGGTATTTGTTGCATAAATACTGCAAGGCATTGTTGCCATTCTAGAAGCTCGGTTTGTCATGCTGGACTTATGACTTTGCTATTGGATTGGGGAGGTAAGATGTTCAGTACTGACATCTGTTCCTACTGAAATTTTCTTATGAATCTAAAGTTTGAAGCCCATTTGCCTCTCATCAGTAAGGTAACTTCTGCTTTTTTTCATGGACATCCCCATTAAGCACTCATACATGTCAGTATGCTGCCATTTTATGAAATGCCACCTTATTTAGCACATGGTGGCTACTCTGATGTATAAAAGGCAAGATGAGCTTTGTTGCAGGGAGATATTGGTGTACCAGAGCCTCAGGAGGTCATTTGTAGAAGCAGCAACCTCAACCTTTGATAAAAGTATTTTTTATACCCAAACTTCCTCTTCTTTTGTGCAAGTTGAGGGTCTAGAAGTCCAGATCACAGGGTCTGGAGTCAGACTCCAGGTTAAATTCTGGCTCAGCCACTTGCTGGCCATGCAATATTAATCAAGTTACTTAACGTTTCTCAGTCTTGTTTCTCATCTGTAAAATGGGGATAATAATAGTTCCTGCCCCTTAGGATTGATAGGAAGATTGAAGAAGATAAAGTATATAAAGCATGGTGCTTGGCACAGAGTAAGGACACAGTAAATGTTAACTATAATATTAACTATTACCTGTAATATAAATGTCATGACAATGATGGTGAAATTTTTCTTCCATTAAAAATGCCGAAGCTAGTCCTCATAGGAAGGATCATATAAAGATGACTCTGGCTCTTATCAGACAGCCTGAGAAACCTACCTTGAACAAATAACTGAGAGAGAAGGAAGGAGCTGAGAACAGTTAAGCAGGATATTTATTGTTTTGTTTGGGAGACAGATTTTTATTTTGATTCTGTTAACAGGATCATGGCATGTCTGCAGGTTCAGTTGGCCAAAAGTATTGGCTGAGTTCCTCCTCCATAGGAATTCCTTTATATATTTTTTAAAAATATGTTTTTATTGATTTTAGAGAGAGAAGAAGGGAGAAGGAAAGAGAGGGAAACATTGATAAGCTGCCTCCTGCACACACCCTGCTGGGGGTAAAGCCAGGCATGTGCCCTGACCAGGAATCAAACTATTGACCTCTCTATGTATGGGACAGTGTTCAATCAACTGAGCCACACCAGCCAGAAAAATCTTTGCCATAATAACCCACCTCACTTCTCTCTAGTTTTTTATTTATTTATTGGGTTTGTGTTTCCGTATTTTGAGCTGACCTAGTACCAGTGTAGATGTGAATTTCATTCCTCTACCGGACCATCGACAATCACTGTGGGGAGAAGATCCAATAATAATGGCCAGCATAGCAAAACACTGTCTTAACTACTATCATTTGGGAAATGGTTAGAATATTCACCACCCTTCTCATTTTGAATTCTTCCTAATCAAAACTGCTCTCCCTTCCACTGCCTTTTGAAAAATAGTGCGATATATAGTTTCACTAGTAAAAATGAAATTATCAAGCAAGCCTCTACTATAAAGAGATAATCAAATTTCAAAACTCCCCATGGCTATAATGTATTTCCTTTCCCACCCCTGCCCTGGCCTTCAAATTTATGTCAGGTAACTAAGGAATATAGTTTGTCCATTGCATTAAAAACATGTGTCAAAGCACTGCTGCTAAGTTAATGCATCGTTTTCTCTGCAAACAGACTGTGAATACATAACATATCACTTATTAGAAGACACAGCCTTGGCAGAATTTTTACAGGCTATGAAAAATGTTAAATGGTTAAATTTTGAATGAAAAAATGGGAGACACTGTTCTTTGTTGTTTTTTTACATGTTATGACAATTTAGTGTGCCTTTCCTGATAAACAAGAGTCCCTTTTACTCTGTTTTGAAATTAATATCTTGATTTTTACAGACTTTATACATTTCAATTGAAGCTCTTTTACAGAAAACAAGAAAACGACCAAGTCTTCCAAAAAGCTGAATATGTCAGAAGTCTACGTTGATTTGGCTCAGTTTCAAATGAATATACCTATAAATTCAATCTTGTTTTTCATTCTCTCTCACTCTCTCTCCCTCCTTTCTCACTCCCTCCCTCTAACTTCCTCCTCCTCTCCCTCCCTGCTGTTTAACCTGTGAGGCTTTTTAACAGGAAGAGTGAGTTTTTGCCTCTGCATTATGGGTGATATACATTTGGTGTCTCCTATCTGTATTAGATTGATAAAATGTAATCCAGTATGTTCAAGGAAATTTTCCTTCATTTTACGGGTAAAGATGTTGTCATCAGAAAGGAAAAGTGACTTGTTCAAGGGCATATAGTAAATTTGTGAGAAAGACTCTAGAACATAGGTTTTCCCCATTTTTTAAAGAACAAACATAATAGTCTGTTTTGGAAGAATCCTAAAATGCCATAAAGTAGGCAGGCATTCAAACACCTCTCTCTTCCCAGATGATTTCACTTTATCCAAAATTTTTCCATTTGTTGTTAAAATGCTTTTGACTATGATTATGATTCTTCCTGTTCAAGGATGTGAAATGCCTTTTCACCTATTCAAGTTTACTTCTGTGTCTATAGTGTTTGCTTCATAGGTCTTACAGATTCATTGCTAAATTTAATTCTACTACTGAAATATTTGCCAATGAATAAATAGTTAACCCTTGAACAACAAGGGTTTAACTAATTGCACGGGTCTGCATATACACTGATTCCCCCCCCCCCCCAGTAAACACCTGTACTATTTTCAACCATGGTTGGGAGTCCGTGGATACAGAGGGCCAATTGTATGCATTGATCTAAGCCATTTTATGTAGGGGACTTGAGCACCCTGGGATTGTGGTGTCTGCAGGGATTCCTGGAACCAAAACCCCTGAGAATACTGAGGATCAATTTAAGTTTTGGGGGAGTCAAAGTTATATATGGATTTTTATGCAGGGGTTGGCACCCCAAGCACTGTGTTGTTCAAGGGTAAACACTGTATATATATTGGATTTACTTTAAAATAACTCAGCCAAGGGATGAGAGATTTAAATGAAACAAGATTAGTCATATGTTAATTGTGATGTTAGAGAAAGGTTCACTTGGGGGCTTGTTGTAGAACTCTGTATATTTTTTTGTATGTTTGAAATTTTTCATTAGTTTTTTTTTTAAAGTATAAAAAGAATGCTGGTAAGTTCCAAGGGTGAATTACAAACTTTAACACAGTCCACTCTGGCCTGGGTAAAACATGCCTCTGAGACTGTCTCTCTCTGTTTCCAGGGTTGTTATGACCTGGTGACCAGTTTCATGGAGACTAACATGGGAATCATTGCTGGAGTGGCTTTTGGAATTGCATTCTCCCAGGTAGCCTACATAATTGTGTGATCCCATCAAGCCTTTCCCCTGTCTCCTGCTCTCCTTTCCCTCCCTGGTCTCCATACTCTGCCTGCCTCACTGTGTCTTGGGAAAGGCTGATAGATGGGGTCAAAGCTCCATGCTCATTAGTCCTTAGGTCATCTGTTTATTGATTTTCCTTTTTCAACCTAAATGAAGTTTTTCCATCAAGGGAATATTGGTTACAGTTCAATTAATGACTAGCTCCAGAAAAACAACTTGCTTCTTCTGTAGGTCAAATGGAGGTTAACTGAACAAAATGCTGGCTTAATTGGAGCATAAACAACTCCAAACATCAAATGGCTTATCTGGATTGGGGAGAAGCCTTTTTTTCCTGCTTGACCTATCACTTTTCTGTTCTTAATTCCTATAGATTATGCATGAGGTCTCTCCCTTTAAAGAAAATCTAAATTTAGCCAACTTCATTTTATGATCATTATTTTAATCTCTAGGTTTGACTATTATTTCTAAAGAGGAAACCACATTTCTGTATATTACATTTTATATTCCTTTATCTCTACCCAGCCTCTAAAAAACAGTGCGAGAGGTAATTATGCAAACTAAGGATGGAACAAGATTAAGCTAACCAGGCAGTATACTGTCCCACAAGCTTCTGATCTCCTGGCTGAATAATATACTGTTGCTATAATATTACTGTGGGTAGAAGGATTGGCATATATACTTAAATAAAACCTTTATGTTTTCCTTAGAATTTTTTTTAGACCAATAGATCGTTTTTCCAACAAAGTCTAATTATTGTTATCTCAGTAATGTGTCCACAGCTCTAATTTCACCTGCCTGAATTCTATATTGGCTCTCTCAAACTGTAATTACTTTTTCCCCACCCCTCTGTACTTTCCTTCCTGCTAAGGAGAACAGATGCACTTTGATCTTATTCAAGTCTAAAACTTTTTATTACAATATAACATATGCAGAAAAGTGCATAACTTAAAAGTATACAGTTTAGTAAATTATCACAAGGTGAACATATTCGTGTGACTGTCAGATCCAGGAATTGAACATTAGCCTGATAGTTTTTGAAAATAGAGGGCTTCGCTTTAGATAAGTCAAAAAGTTTTGTTTCAAGCAGGTTCAAAAAACCTGCGTGACGTTTCATTTCACAAGAACATGTGGATTCAGCCAATAGGAGTGTGTCATTCTTGTGACAGTCCCAAAATTCATTGACCATTGGTTTGCTTTTTGAAACCCATGAAGTAAGTTAAATCTCAGTACACCCACACAGAGACAAACCAAAGTGGTGTCACAAATAGGGCCAATTAACTCAGTCTCCAGAGACATTTCAGAGGAAGTTGTTGCCCTGAACTTTCTTCTGGTTGCTATCATATTTCAGTAATAACATCTCAGTAACATATCTGTAATGGCCAAAGGGGCATTTTAGAGGATCCCAGACCACATGTTTGATGCAGATGTACGGGATGCACTTGACAGCTTGCACATAGTTTACTTTCCACATGTATGTGCAGCGTCAGGTTCATACCCACCTACAGGACAGACTTATTCTGGGCATTTGAGGAGAACTGTCCCTTTGGAGGTAGGAATATGCTGAAGTCCCCACTAATGGCTATCCTAGAACCATTAAGGGACATGATGCCTGTAGTCTGCACGGGGAGAAGAGAGCCTCAAAGAGCCTGGAATCTCATGTATAAAACATCATCCAAGAATATACGCATGTAGCCATGAGGGAGTGAAGTGGCAATCCTATTTCATTAGCGAGGTGACTCAAGTCATAAAGAACCTGATTTGTACTTAGACAAGTGGTTACCTGGCCTGCTGAGCATTAATCTCTCTGTACTACCTTGAAGAAATCACTTATGTGGAATTGGTGAGTTTTCTCTGTGGCCTTATGAGGCAGTAAGAGAGGGGATTTGGCTCCAAGGAACCCCAAAACAGAAACTCTCTGTAGAGAGTTTAGGTCTCATGAGGTATCACATAGTTGTTGGGATGAGAGAACAAAAAACACAAAGCCCAGTGACTTTGCAAAGTCAGTACCAATTACTCGCATGGCCAGGCAGACGCAGTGGGGAAGAGACCTGAGTCTTGTTATGCTCAGCTTGCACCGGGGAGAGGAATAGCCATGGCTGTCTTTTATTAGCCAGATGTGCTAGAAACTGCAGCTTTTAATGGTGCTAGCAGCCTCAAGGTTCCTGTAAGCTGAAGTGGAATTCCAGATGCCAGTAGATCTAGGCCCTCTCTGGGACCATGGTGGCCACTTACCAGCCGTACTGATTCTGGTCAATGACCTAGAACCAAACCTTTAGCCACACACGTTCAAAAATTGTAGGACACATGTCACAGTGAAATTTAACAAATGTTAGCCTATCTCTTACTAGTAGCTTTAGTATAATAAAGTGAGCTCTACTGAGTAGAGGCTACAGACAGACCAAAGTATATAGGAAAGAACAGAGCTCTCTTTCTCTTTTCACCTTTCCTCACCTGCCCTCTTCCTCCTCCTTGTCCTTTTCCTCACCTGCTCTTGTGACCTCCACGCTATCTGTTGGAACAAACTGGATTTGTACATCTGTTGTCTCAGAAATTAAAGATGGTATAAAGTACAAAGAAAACTAAGCTGAGTCTAGCCTTTTAATAGAATGTTCAAGAACTCTGGCCCTGTTAGTTAATTTAAAGCAGGCCTTTTATACTTCTCTCCACAAATTCCTACTGCCTTTGCCCTCTCAAGGAAAAACCCATTTGCCTGGAATTAATATGCAGGTCCTGCTGCCCTATAGATTTATAGCAAGAGGTTGAGTGTGTTTTGATAGGGTTTGAATGGCTTGCTTGAGATTGGGCATCTACTGTAGATCCAGTTTTACAATTCTGACCTCAGCACCTGGTCTGCTCTATTAAGCATTTAGGCCAGATTTCACCCTTGTTCTTGCCTCAGGTAGCACCTAAAGGGAACTTATTCTGTGCTTTTATAATGAAAGGGTTTGAATCTGTGGAATTGGAAGGAAAAAGATACTCATCAAAAAAATAGATCCTCCTCCTACCCATCCATCCCCTGACCTTCACCACTGTAGCGCTTCCCCCAGAGCTCACAGGCTTCTTGGATGATTCATTATTGGCCGGGAATTTTTTTTCTGGGACTTGTTTACCTTTTCTATGTAGAGGGCAGGACAAAGCTGTTGATAGCCTTGATAAGACATAGCCCCAAAAAAGGCTAACAGAACTATTTACTCATTCCCTTAGTATTTTCAGGGCCTCAGATGGTCCCTAACAACATTTATACCATTTTATTTCTAGCTAGATTCCTTGGCATTTTCCTAAAGTCATGAAAGTTTTACTTAGTTTCCCAGTTAAATCATTAAAATAAAATCTCCACAGGCATTATAAGGATCTAAATTTTTCATCTATTGCTTGTCACTTTCTTGTTAAGAAAGTTGCCTTTATAGCTCTGTGATGGCAGAGGAAGACACCCTTACCCTGTTGCCTTTGACATCTCTTGTCTTTGCTGACAGGCCCTACAACTCTCTTAGCTTCTCTTCCTCTTCTCTGGTTTCTCAGTTGTTGAAGCAGTAGAACCACCCTAAGGTTTTAACAACTCAAAAGAAAATAGAATACATACTGACAAGGCAGATAGTAGTAAAATTGTTACTTCAAAAACTTAGATGGGTACTAAGTACAAAGTCTTAGTCAATCAAATATAAGCTGATCTATAACTGCCTAAACTATATAGGATTAGGCATTTCACCAGCCACAGGCAGGGTGAATGGTAGCTCTGAGGTCTCTGTCCTGAGGAGTTTTCAGCATAACAAACTCTTTAGGAGAACAGAGTTCAGGTGTTGCCTTGACCAACAATGGGACCCAGTTTGGTCGCAGGTGTTACACCTGTAAGAAAAGGGTGACTAAATGGACTAAATGACTAGTTCTCTCACCTGTAATGCTTGTTAAGCCATCAATTGCTAGGCCCTACTCACCCACACTGTCTGATTCAGTAGGCCTGGAGTGGGGCCCGAGAATTAGCATTTCTAACATGGCCCTAGGTCAGTGGTTCTCAACCTTCTGGCCCTTTAAATACAGTTCCTCATGTTGTGACCCAACCATAAAATTATTTTCGTTGCTACTGCATAACTGTAATGTTGCTACTGTTGTGAATCGTAATGTAAATATCTGATATGCAGGATGGTCTTAGGCGACCCCTGTGAAAGGGTCGTTCGACCGCCAAAGGGGTCGCGACCCACAGGTTGAGAACCGCTGCCCTAGGTGCTGCTGATGCTGCAGGTCTTGAGGCCACACTTGGAAAGACACTGTTCCCAATTTTCTCTAAAAGTCATTCCCAACTCTGATCCAATAAAATATGGCAAATTGCTTAACTTGCAGTGGTTCTCAGCCTTCCTAATGCTGCGACCCTTTAATACAGTTCCTCATGTTGTGGTGACCCCCAACCATAAAATTATTTTTGTTGCTACTTCATAACTGTAATTTTGCTACTGTTATGAATCATAATGTAAATATGACTATTACTTCTTCATTGGAAAACTCATCTGGTCAAGAATAGCATCTCATTGTCTCGAGGAAAGAACTATTATGGCTGGGGTATCAGCCAACTACGTTAAAATATCTTCCAATGCATGTGCTTATGGTTTTGAATTTAATTTGGGCATTAAAAGATATCTCTCACTAATTCTGTGGTACTTAATTTTTTCCATTACACTTATAACATATGAACACATTTTAATACTACTTATATGTCAGAAGTTGTTTTTATTTATTTTTAAATTATTTTTATTGATTTTAGAGAGAAAGAGAGAGGGAGAGAGAGATAGAAACATCAATGATGAGAGAGAATCATTGATCAGCTTCCTCCTGCATGCCCCCTATTGGGGATTGAACCTACAATCCAGGCATGTGCCCTTGACCTGAATCGAATCTGGGACCCTTCAGTGTGCAGGCCTACGCTCTATCCACTGAGCCAAACCGGCTGGGACTCAAAAGTTGCTTTTAAATGGCCAGAGTGAACTAGAACCTGTGGCCAGTTCAAGAACCTCTAGTTATCCTCTATCAGCAATTAGACACTCTAAGTCTTAGATCCCACAGATGAAATCAGGTTTGATCATTTTCTCTAGTGCCCTTTCCCCATTCATGTACAAAAGCACTCAGTTGTCTAAAATATAGTTGGGGGGGGGGGGAATGTCAAAGCATGGTGTAGTTCAGTGGCTTAAGATTCCTGTTCTCATTTTTCCTTCTGGCAATAGCTGATTGGCATGCTGCTGGCCTGCTGCCTGTCCCGGTTCATCACGGCCAACCAATATGAGATGGTATAAGGAGAAGGTGAGTGGCAGTGGGGAGTGTTTAATTTTGGGTTTCTCCCTTTGGGGCACATACTACCTTTCAAAACACAAGGGTACTATCCAGCCACTTAAATACTTGATCTTGGTGGCACTGGTCCATCTGACAAAACCTCATTTCTGTGGTGCTAGGAAGGAGATGTGATCAACACTATTGTGGAAAATGTATCAATACTCTTTTCAGATTGCTATCTTATTTTAAGTCCTTATTAATGATGAGTCACTCACATGTTTTAATCTCTCTCTTAGTCTTTCAAGACGACGGAATAAGAGACCCGATTTAATAAAGGAACTGCAACAATCCTTGAAAGACTTCTAAAAGAATGTTAGAGCACAGTACATATTACACTTGCCCTATTCCCCCTAACTCCATACCCTGTGTGCAACTGATACTCCCACACAGTATCTACCCTGCCTTTCAACCTAAACCTAGTGTTCTATTTTGTGAAGCCCTTTTGTGCCAGAGTATAGCCAGATTCCCTGCATCTAGTCCTAGTGGAACCCACCCAAGGCTCCTTCATCTGTACTTGGTCCAACTGCAACTCATCATAGGTGACTAGTTATCACACCATCACTGGCCACCTGGGCCCTGCATGTTTTGGGGAGGCTCCTGTTAACTCTTCATTAAGATTGATAAATGTCACACCCCTTGATATAGATAAACAGCTACCTGTTCTTTTGGCTTAATTTCCTATAATTTGGTTATCCCTTTACTAAGGCTCTTTCCTACCTTCTCCAGGCTGCCTAGAACATGTAAAGAGATACATCAGTAATTGTTTATGAGGAGGAAAAAGCATGAAGGAAATTGTTGAGCTTTAGGTGGTCTCCTTGGCTCATTATTATTACATGCGTGGGTATGTATGGACAGTTTAGTGCACCTAAAAGTTGAATTGTTGCTTCACATGAAGGAAATAATACTACTTCTGTTTTTCTCCAATTAATTGCTATTGTGTTATTTTACTTCTTTCTGTACTTTTCCTTTGCATTGATATTACAGACATTGAGGACATCATCAAATCAATTGAAAAATGAGTGTGAAGGGGGAACAAATGTCAAAATATTTTTAAAAGATCTTTAAAAATAATGCCTCTAGCATGCCAACAAGAATGCATTGATATTGTGAACATTTGTGATACATGTATTAATAAATAGAGTCACTACAAATTACTGTGTTCTGGTTTTGTTCTTTGGTTATTACAGAAATTTTAAACACATATTTCTATTCCATCTTGTTACACACTGACACACCCCTCTATAAATGCTCCCATCAATCTTATCACACCAAAATAGCATCAGGCAGTGTAAAAGTTGAAGAATTAAATTTTTTTAAAATGGGAATTTTAGAAATTTATATCACTTACCATGAACAGGATAAATTGTTGACTACAAAAATAGAACTTTCAGCAGAGGTTTTAAAAGTCTGAATGTCTTTGTTTAAGAAATGGAAATGAGCATCTATTCTTTCTTTCATCATTTCTAATGAGCATGTATTCTTTCTTTCATCTCTGGATTGAATGCACTTAAAGAAGAGATGACATCACACAACACCATTTAGTGGTCCCAATACCCGGTTTGTATTGAAGTATGAAATTCTTACACTTGATTGAAAGTGCATTTTAACAATAGGTACAATATATATTATCTATGATCTATTTTTCCTTCTTAATGAATCATTCTTTTAAAAAGCTAGTAAAACATATGTTGATCTGTTTTCCAAATAAGTGGATCTAAAAAGTCCACCCCCCTGCCCTGCAGAACAACCTGTAATTAGTATGGAGATTCCAGTATAGTTATATACATTTATTAGCCTGAACTTTGCATGGAGTAAACCAGTGGTTCTCAACCTTCTGGCCCTTTAAATACAGTTCCTCATGTTGTGACCCAACCATAAAATTATTTTCGTTGCTACTTCATAACTGTAATGTTGCTATTGTTATGAATCCTAATGTAAATATCTGATATGCAGGATGGTCTTAGGTGACCCCTGTGAAAGGGTCGTTCGACTGCCAAAGGGGTCGCGACCCACAGGTTGAGAACCACTAGTAAACTCTAAAAGGCTTACAAAGGGCACTGTCCCATGCTTTCAGATATCCCCTCTTCAAACTGTCAATGTTTTTCATGAATTAAGGAGATCTCTTCTAACAAAACATGTTGTTCAAAACTTTTCAAAGTCCATTTTTTAATTTCTACTTTATTATATACTAGAGGCCTGGTGCATGAAATTTGTGCATGAGGAGGGGGGTGTCCCTCAGCCCAGCCTGCACCCTCTCCAATCTGGGACCCCTGGAGGGATGTCCGATTGCCCGGTGGGATAGGGCCTAAATGGGCAGTTGGACATCCAGGACTGCTGGCTCCCAACCGTGTGCCTGCCTGATTGTCTGATTGCCCCTAACTGCTCCTGCCTGCCAGCCTGATCGCCCCCTAAGCACTCCCCTGCCAGCCCGATTGATGCCTAACTGCTCCCCTGCTGGCCCAATTGCCTCTAACTGCCCTCCCCTACAGGCCTGGTCACCCCTAACTGCCCTCCCCTGCAGGCCTGGTTGCCCCCAACTGCCCTCCACTGCAGGCCTGGTTGCCCCCAACTGCCCTCCCCTGCAGGCCTGGTTGCCCCTAACTGCCCTCCCCTGCCGGCCATATTGTGGTGGCCATCTTGTGTGTTGGAGTATGGGCAATTTGCATATTACTATTTATTAGATAGGATTGAAATGAGGCTTTTCTGTAAAATCCTAAATAGCCCCACTCATGTGGTTTACCCTTTTGCAAACTGCATTCATCAGTATACTATTTTATTTTTATTGTTTGTAGTTCTTTATTCTTACTGTTTATGCTATTTTATTTTTATTATTTGGACACATTTAATTGTTAGTGTTAAAAGCTTCTGGACAGCCCTGGCTGGTTTGGCTCAGTGTATAGAGCATCAGCCTGTGGACTCAAGGGTCCTGGGTTCGATTCAAGAGCACATGCCCGGGTTGCGGGCTCGGTCCCCAGTAGTGGGCGTGCAGTAGGCAACCAATCAATGATTCTCTCTCATCATTGATCTTTCTATCTCTCTCTTCCTCTACCTTCCTCTCTGAAATCAATAAAAATATATATTTTTTAAAAAAGCTTTTGGACAAAACTTAAGTTGAAAGATATTTGAAATTATAATCATAGACTACCCCACAGATTGATTTCTTGGGGTTTGGCCTGGCCATTGAGATTTTTTTAAAAGCTTCCCAGGTGATTCTAATATACAGACAGGGTATTGCCCTACTTCTATCTCATTTACTTGAGATTATCTCACTCTGCTTAATGCATGTTCATTTCTACCTCATGCTTTTCCTCTGATTTTTCCTGTTTGGTATGCCTCTCCCAATGCCTCCCATCTTCAAAGACCATCTCTTCTGTAATATTCTTCCTGCTGACTCCAGTCCTAACTGTCCTAGTAAGTTCTCTATATGTCCAACATTGTAGATCAGTTATTTTCTAGAACATTGCCAATTTCTTCAATTTATGAAGTTGTTATAATAATGCCTTATTTTTGAAATCTTAATGGCATCTAAATTTGTTACCTTTTCCAATCCTAATATTTTTTCTTTCATTTTTAATCATTCCAGACATTTATCTATTTTACATTTCAGTTTTGACTTACAGTTTTTATTGTCGTTTAGTTCTAATGTTTTGCAATTTCCATTAGGATTCATGCATGGAATGGTAAATTACAAATTGTTTTTTAAAGTTTTCAAATGTATAGAATTTGAGACTGTCCTTTTTATTTTAAAATTTAGTTTGTAAGATAAAGAATTTTTATTTGCTGAGGCTTGCTTTGTGCCCTAGTATGTGGGCAGTGTTTGTTCTGTATGTACTTAAAAGTATGTGTCTTCTTTAATTATAGGTGTGAGGTTAGACCAAGCTTGCAAATATATCCAAATAGTAAATCTTGTGAAAATTTTTCAAATTGACTGTGTTTTTATGAGTATTTTGTCTGTTTGACCTACCAGGTTCTGAGAATGAATTATTACAGTCCGCCACTATGAGTGTGGATTTTGTCAAATTTGCTTAATATATTTTTAAGTTATATTTTAGGGACATACAAATTCGAGATTATTTCTCATTGATAAATTATTCTGATATCATTATGCACTTAAACTCTTTATCCCTAATTATGTTTTGTCTTTTAAACTTTATTTTGTCTGATATTACAATTGTTATAATTAGTTTTGGTAAATATAGGGTTGAGAAAAAGTAAGTTTACAGTTGTGTGTACACAAAACACAAAGTTTATTCTTGTATTGTTAATTATTGCATTACTTATTATTAACCTACTTTTGCCCACCCCTGTATTTGCCAAGGGTATTGTTCTATATCATTGTGTTTAACCTTTCTGTGTAATATTTTAGATGTCTCTTAAGCATCTAAATGTCTTCATTTTGTTTTCTTTTTCTTTTTTGTTTTATTGCTTAAAGTATTACAAAGGGTATTACATATGTGTCCTTTTTTCCCCCCGCCCTTGACAATCCCCTGCCCTCCCCTACCCCCCAGTGTCTTATGTCCATTGGTTATGCTTATATGCATGCATACAAGTCCTTGAGAAAGTCAAAACTGAAAAACATGGTCCAGTTGTGCATTGTTATTACTGATGTATTTTGTTTTACTCCTACCACATTATTTTTTCTGTCTACTATTTATTTCATGTTTTCCTTCTGCCCTACATTCTCTTGGAAATTATATGTTGCATGTTTATTCTTTTAATGGTTAATCTTAATTTCTTTTTTAAAATTTTGTTTTATTGCTTAAAGTATTACAAAGAGTATTACATATGTCTCCTTCCCCCACCCCCCTTGACCTTCCACCGGCCTCCCCTACCCCCCAGTGTCTTATGTCCATTGGTTATGCTTATATGCATGCATACAAGTCCTTCGGTTGATCTCTTACCCCCCCCCCCCCCCCCAACCCTCCCCTGGCTTCCCACGGTAGTTTGACAGTCTGTTCAATGCTGCTCTGCCTCTGTATCTATTTTTGTTCATCAGTTTATAATGGTCTTTATTATCCATAAATGAGTGAGATCATGTGGCATTTTTCTTTCATTGACTGGCTTACTTCACTTAGCATAATGCTCTCCAGTTCCATCCATGCTGTTGCAAATGGTAAGAATTCCTTCTTTTTTACAGCAGCATAGTATTCCATTGTGTAGATGTACCACAGTTTTCTAATCCATTCATCTGCTGATGGGCATTTAGGCTGTTTCCAAATCTTAGTCTTAATTTCTTAACATACATACTTGAAATGTAATTAATTAGAATGTTCATCCTCCTCCAAAATAACACAAAGACATTAGAATGTTTTCATTTCAGTCACCTCACTTAACTTCTATATTTTGTTGCCTAACATTTTATTTCTACTGTCTCCCCAAATGAATTACACTGTTAGTGTTTATAGAGTTTATTTAGACTTTTCTACATGTGGACATACTTGTTTTGTTGTTATTATTTGTTTTGCTTTAACCATTGCAACTTACATCTTAATATTTTTGGGTTCAATTTTGTTTTTATTGAAGTAAATTTTTTAATTTGTTATTTCATTAAGGGATCTATACGTGGTAAATAATCTAAATCTTTGTCTGAAAATCATGTCATCTTTTTTCTTGAATGATCATTTTACTATGAATAAAATTTTATATTTGTAGTTGTGGGTATTTCTTTTACTATTATTAATAATAAGTCTAATTGTTCATTTATGGGTAATCTGTCATTTCTCTCTAATTGCCTTTAAGACTTTCTCTTTTCCTTTCATTCTCCTCTACCATATATGATGGACACTTTCTAATTCTATCTTGTATGTCTTTCATTTTTTCCATGTCTTTATTTCTTATAGAACACCCAGGATAATCTCAGTTGTCTTCCAGTTCTCTTCTTCAATTTTTCTAATTTGCTTAATATTCAATAAGTTATATTTTTATTTTATTTTTAAAAGCTCTTTACTTTTTTATAGTGGTCTCTTTTTCCACTGACTTCACATCCTGTCTCTAATAACCCTCAATTATTTTTATCCTTTCTTTCAAATATCCTAATATCTAAAGTTCATGGGTGCTCTTCCTCCTATATGTTGTGTTTGCTATCACTCGTAGCAGATCGTTTTCTTGTGTTTTTAATTTTTGTAAGACAGTTTCTCACCTTTAAATGGCT